CTCAATGATTATTCTAATTATATTTTAGATTTTTTATATTTAAAATAAAATGTTTATCCTGTATTTGATTGTGTTTATCTGCAGTTAGTTACACGAATTTAGATATGAGATGAAATCGGATAGGGATGAACGAGTTTAAGAGTTTTAAGAGTTTAAGAGTTTTTAAGAGTTTTAGCCAAATGCTTTATAATATAGTATAGATAGTATAGATTATTTGAAATGGATATAAAAAAATCATTTCGATATATTTGATGGACGGAGAGACTCCATCATTCTCGGATCAACTCCCAACTACTACCGCGCGTTTTCATTCCCTCCATGGATATCCTTCATTACTCAAGGCTTCAAAACCCTACTAATAAATTATTACGTCCTCACCCTCGATTGACTGTACCGTCGACGTCGTCGTCATTGTCCCTTCGGCGATTTAGCGTCAGGTATCCTCCACCCTGTTCTTATCATTCTGTAATTAACACCACTCTGCTTCTTGCCCCAAATTCTAGGGTTCCAATTGCTTAATTATTCTTCTTCTGGCAGATCGAGCCTTCCATTGCCGGTTCAGAACGCCAAGTACAATAGAGAGCTACGAGCTGCTGTCGATGCGGTCGAGCGGGCTTGCTGTCTTTGTGTTGACGTAAGTTTCATCACATTGACATTTCTCAATTTATTTTTTTCATTTCAGATCAATTTAAGGTTTCAGACATAGAAGATAGAACTGCCAAAAGTTATCCATTGACATTTTATAGGCCCGCGAGGTATAAAAAGGCCCTTGATAGGTACGAAGAAAGTAACATAAAATTCAAGAAATACTAATAATTCATATAAAATCGTTTTTCAGAATACTCCTAGACATGAAATCAATCAATAATTATTTTTAATTAATATTATCTATCATATCATTTACAGCTATCGGCAATCCATTCAATCGTCAAAAACATCTTATAATATACCTTAAATATATATAGATTGTCATTGTTTGGATCATAATCTTGACTATTCTAAGTAACACTCTATGTAAGTTAATATAAATCAATTGAGTTTCCATCAAACACAGGTTAAAGTTTTTTCATCACCGTATTCAACTTTTAAGGTTAATTTTTTTTTTTCGAAACCATCAATTTTTTTTTTTGACCTTTGGAGCCAAGTTTAAACCAATCAGGTACCACCCTTGTGGTTCGAAACCATCAATCTTATAATCAAAAGGCCATGCTAGTTTAGCTTGAGATCTTATTCTTGTTTTGGAGATAAGAGAGTACTTGAAATTCATCCACTAAATATTAGGTAGTAAGGAGTCAATGATGTATGAAAAAAACAAGTGTAGTTTTGAAATCCTAAATATAGATATAAGTTTGACTGTTTTACATAGATGGTAATATTTTTCAAAAAATAGGAGCTTTCGTAGTTAATAACAAGAAATCTACTATATTCTAATGCAAAAATATAATTCATGTGGATGAAATAATCAAAGGAGTTGGTGAGAGATGAACGATGGAGAATATATCAAGATTTCATAGGCAAGTAGTTTAAGATAAAAAATCTTGAAGAGACAATAAACAATACTATAAAATGAACGACTACTTTTCTCGCAGGCCAACTACAGACGTATTCTTATTTCTGGTTTAAAAATAGGGTGCCGAAAGATGTTTTGGTGATTAGTTGGATAGAGTGGTGTAATTCTCCCATGTCTTGTTTTCAGCCTGTACTCTCTTTTTGCTAGCGCCTTGCTAGTTTTTTTTTATGATATTTCGCCTTTGTTTGTTGGTAAAAATAAAAATAAATAGATAAATAAAATGAATGACTAATTAACTTTTTAGTTTTTACATATTTTTTTTCCCAATGTATTTAATTAATACATCTTTGGGCCCTTAATATAATACAAAATTCTTTTATGGTTCTATTAGATATCAAAGAAATCTCTCTTTTATTTACTAATTTTTTTTGACTACTACGGAGTACTATATTCTAAAAAATTTGGGCCCCATTTCTTGTGGGCCCTGGTTGTACGCCTGCCCTCCGCCAGGCGCCCTTGAGTATCTTCCTTTTTGTGGTTGTGTTATAAAGTTTGATGTGTTTATAGTCTTCATTTACGAAAGTAATCCATGAAAATTTTTAAGGTCAAAGGTGACCTTCGATTTGAGAAAGAATCTTTTTTGGGTGGATATTTTTCTTTATGTGGTCAATGTATGTAAAGTTTTACACTTGATGACGAGTCGACCACACCTCGTAAATGGAAGTTTTATGCTCATGTATTACAAATGTGCTTTGTTCCGATTATCTGCTTGTATAGGGTTTTCTTACACTTTGTTATAATCTTCTATAATAAATTTGTAGTTATTATTTTTAAAACAATTAAGAAGAGCTTGAGAAAGTATATAGGTTTCAATATTTGTCACATGATGTAGTCACTGCAGACTTTATAATGTCATATACAGAGGGCATATTTAATAATTACAAATCATATGTACCTTTGTTTCTCATGTTTAATTGGATTATAAGAGTGCTATATTTTCTTGAATTTTCATCCTAATTGATGTGATCATCTTAATGATCTAGTTATACATAATCATTATTCATGAAAGTTATTAATGGCGAGTTGGCGACAGCGGACAAGTAATTTGTTTGGAAGGACGCAATTTCACATTCTTTGGAAGAACTAAAAATTGTTTAGGTGCTTGATTTCGCACATGATGCATGCAAAAGGTTTGCATTTGATATAACAGGAACCTTTTGTAACATCCCCCGTCCCCGTGGTCCGGAACGGGCGGTGTCACTAACGGGACTTAATTCAAATACACAACATTGCAGAGCTACTAATAAACTCCAAACGTAGATTAACTTCTAAAACATGCTTTACAATCCAAAATATCACATTCAAACAACTATTTATAAGCTTGGAATATTATACATCTACCAACGAGTTTACCAACTCCAAAAAGTCAAACGCTCGATCTCAAGTC